TACTTTGGTTGCAGATAGTAGTTATCTAAGTTGTCGAGGTTAATATTTCGGAGAATATATATATATATCATATCATATCATATCATATCATATCATATCATATCATATCATATCATATCATATCATATCATATCCTAAACCCTAAACCCTAAACCCTTACATATATATATATATATATATGTATATTTATATGATTATTATAGGTACTTGGACCCTTAGGGTATTGAGTGCCGAAACCCTAAGTTGCAGGGATCATATGCCCTGATCCTTCCTTGGCAGTGCAGCGGGTTGACACTAAATAATGGGCTTAGGGTGTTAGGGTTTAGGGTGTCAGGGTTTAGGGTTTAGGGTTTAGGGTTTAGGGTTTAGGGTTTAGGGTTTAGGGTTTAGGGTTTAGGGGTTTAGGGTTTAGGGTTTAGGGTTTTAAGGTTTTAGGGTTTAGTGCCTAATACGAGCAGAACGACATCAACACATCTTAGTGTAAGAATTGCGTGTGGCAGGTCAGCAAGCCGCGACCAGGATGTTCAGGTACGTGATATAGGGGCCTTTATAATCCCTAATGCTATTTCGGGAGTTCGTTTAACTGTAGTAACTATAGTATACTGTTCCCCAAAACCCTATTCTAATTATTACGGCCCCTTTGCCCTACATCCCTTGTTCTAGCAACCCTTAATTATAGTAGTCCTTTAAAGGAGCCCCTTTAAAGGAACCTCATTCTTGTTATGAAGGCCTCTATAGTAGCTTTCGACCTTTTGAGCCTGGTCAAGGCATAGCTCGAAATATCGGCGCAAAGACGCAGGTGCATTGGAGAAGTCAGCGACGGCACAGAACAAAAAGGCACCATACTATGCTACACTTTCTATTTTCGGTAGTATGCTATGGTATACTACGCTACGCTATAATATACCATATTGCGCTATACTGTGCTATACTAGAGTGGACTGGACTATACTACACTATACTACACTATACTATTACACTACATACTAAAACATGCAGAAAGACACCAGGCCATACCAAACTCGACCATAATGGTACACAAAACTGTGCTACACTGTACCTGTGGCCCAAAAAACCTACGCTTTAAGGAACTATATATAGAAGCCATCATAAGGAACCCTAGAAAGGTAGGTTTTTTCGGCTTGGAGGCCCAGGGGACTTAGTAAGTAGGTTATAAGCAGAGTTATAAGTACCCTAACTGGAGTTACCCCAGTTATAACCCTACTTATAACCGACTTACTAAGTCCCATGGGCCTCCAAGTATTGTACTATGATATGGATTGGAGCCTCAAGCCTGGCCTCGTGACGCCAAGACGCTCGTTTAGGGTATAGTATAGTGGGTATAGGGTTTAGGGTTTAGTAAGTTTAGGGTTTAGGGTTTAGGGCTTAGTAATTTTAGTAATTTTAGGGTTTAGGGTTTAGGGCTTAGTAATTTTAGGGTTTAGGGTTTAGTAATTTTAGGGTTTAGGGTTTAGGGTTCGAAATCAAGATGCGACTTACCTTTCAGGGATGGTCGGTTTCGGGATGTTTCGGATTTGGGGTTTTGTTTGGGTTTAGAGTACGTTTAGGGAATATAGGTTTCGGGATGTTTCGGGTATAGGGTTTAGGGTACTGTTAAGGATTATAGGTTTCGTGATGCTTTGGGCATAGGGTTTCGGGTTTCGGGTGTAGTGTTTCGGGATATTTCGGGCTAATTTTAAACAATTACCAATGCTAGTTGCTTTCGTCGGGGCTCCTTATTATAAACAAAGTAATCAAAGCCCTATTTCTAATTGTAAGGTCCCATTATATGGTGGCCAGACTAGCCCAGGTCTTCAGCTCGACGTCCGAACCGGCATTTCGCAGCCATTCCCAATCTCACACGGCCTTCGGGGATTAATGTGTACATCCCAGAAAGATAACCATCCTTGAACGGTTCAGGGTTTAGGGTTTAGGGTTCAGGGTCACCCTTCCCTTAAGGGCCTTAGTATGCATACGATGCCTTCTCTTTTCCTTATTCGGGTCAGGGTTTATATATGAAGAGCCAAAATGCTGCGCCCCCCACCCCCCTCATCCAAACCTCGAAGGACTATAAACGCTCCCCAAGACCTCCGAAACCCTAAGCCCGAGACAAGAGCATGCAAAACGCAAAGTCGTGAAGCAGCCCTAAACCCTAAGTCCTCACAACCCTCAACTCCAGACCACAGTCTAGGGTCCTAAATAATTACCAATTCAAAACTATTTTGGGGGGCTCCATTTGATAATTATAGTATACTGTACCCAAAAACCCTATTCTAATTAAGGCCCCTAAACCTAAATCCTTATAGTAGCCCTTATAGCACCCTTTACGGAACCCTTCAAAGAAACATTATTAAGGCCCCTAAACCCTAAACCCTTATAGTAGCCCTTATAGAACCCATACCTTTAAGGAACCCTTCAAAGGAACCCCCCAAACCCCTTTTTAATTAAGGCCCCTAAACCTAAATCCTTATAGTAGCCCTTATAGCACCTTTTAAGGTATAGCACCCTTTAAGGAACCCTTCAAAGGAACCCCCCAAAACCCTAAACCCTAAACCCTAAACCCAAAACCCTTTTAAAACGTCTGAAAGCTGTCAAGCCGCCATGGCAAAGCGTGCATTCAGCTCAGAGGCCCTCCTTAAGATGAGGGCTTTGTTTTGGGTTTAGGGTTT